CAACACTGTAAGTGGCTCTAAAGCCAACAGATTAGCATATTCAGGTTACAGCCAACAAAGCTTTTCCACTTCCATAGAGAAACTATGCTCTTCAGAGAAATTTCACATATTTCATTTCAAAAAAGGACTCAATGTATTCATGAACATGACTGAAAGGAGCACATCAGTATTTTAAAAGTTCTTGTCTCAACATCTAAATCTATTACCTTCTTAAAAACAGACATTTCAGAAGAAGTAATTTGTTTAATAAGACAAAATAAAAGCAATTAAAGTACGGGTATTATGGAACAGAATGATGAAGATAAAAATATATGCATATATAGCTGTCAGAACCAAGATGCAATACATGGTAAACATTTAAAAAAAACCAGGAGGCTTACAATACTTGAGAAACAGAGTAGCAGACTCAAAATCTAGGTCTAACTTTAAGCGTGACTTCAAGTTTAAAACTTCAGAGAGAAGACTGGGTCCAAGTCTGTTTGGTTTAAATTACATAATAACTAACTAACTCTTTCATTCTGGTAAGTTCTCTTTGAGATGCAAGTTCAGTAAATATCAATACCTCAAACTGAGCTGGAGTCATAACTTGGTCACCCATAGCAGTGTCTGCAGCATGATGCATGTTGTCATAGGAGGAATAGCTATAGTTGTAGTCAGGGTAAGGATCATAACCCCATTGCGAGTAGTAGTTCTGATAGTCCTGGTAATAATCGTTGTAGTTATAAGACTGGTACCGCTGGAATTCTGCTTTCAGTCTAAAACATTGAGAGAGAAAATTGAGATAAACTGGCTGCAAAACTGATTTTAGGCAGTTCAGTAAGGAGTTTCTGCAAGTCAAGTTTTGAAGATGAACATTTCGTTGAAAAAAATGAGCACAAGACAAGAAAGCACAGTACTTTGTATTTATACACAAGCAAATGCTCTCACCTCTGCCAATACCAATAACTTTCCTGAATTAAATCCAAACCCATAGCACTTATTTCCAACAAAGCAAATTTCAGGGTCAAAATAAGCACAGCTTTTGCAGCCAAATCTCTGTGCTCTGCTAAGGACCAGCTGATTAGTACTTACTGAACATGCAAGCACAGCTGCTTCACCCATTCTCTCAATTAGTCCTTTATTTCACTTGGCTAATTGCTAAATATTCTTATTCCAGTAGTAAATACACAACATCCCATAGTTTTAAAAAAGGAGCAGTTGACACTGCCCACATTTTTTAAAGAGGGATATTCCAACTTCTCTGTACCACACAACCACAAAACAGAAAGTTCCCTTCCACTTAAAGAAAACTGTACAGACTAGACGCTGGTTAAGAGTCCAGTAGCTGAACTCAATGCTCCTTGTGACATTATACCCAACTCGTAGCAAGCCATTATGAAAGTGGAAAGATTTCTTTTGAAGCAGCTTCAGCCTCAGCACTTTAAAAATGGCAGAAAAAGTGCACATGATCTTTCAAGTAAGATGTTAGGCAATAATTTTTAGTTAATTGGACACTGTATCAATATACACTAGACCAATTTGTCCTCAACCTTTTTAGACTCGACACACCCCTCCATAACCATTTCA